CTTGACCTCACAAGCTTTTCACTTTGTTTATGCATAGAGTTGAGGATTTGCATTTATATGTTTGTACAGAGAACTAAATTCCCTCTCAAACTAAGGTCACAGTCCTTGGAAAGCAGTGGTTCTTCCCAGACATACGCTCTGATGTGGCTTTTGAGTCCAGAGGTACCATCCAAGTTTTTGGTAGACTGTAATCTAATTTAATTGCTTAACCTAATTTAACTGATGGTGAGTTGCAGAATGGTGCAAAAATGAAAATAACTTTGTTTCCAAATTCTGTTAAGAAATGGCAGTGCTCTAGCTGTAGTAAACAAGCCTAAGGCAAGAGCATGCTACATAAAATAACCTAATTACGATTAAGCCAATCAGAGCATTTTCCTCAGATGAATAGGCAGGCAGGGATTTGACAGGTACTCCGATTTAATTGCGTGGAAAACGTGTATGTGCAGCAACATGCTTAAGAAGCTTTATCTCATGGATCAGGTTCCCTGTTGTTACTGAGCAGCAGTGGAAGTCAGTTGGCTGTAAGAGGATGTTTCTGTGCAGATCTTTGTCATTAGCTACAGCAAGGGCAAATTCCTGGCCCTGCTGAAGACCATGGGAGGTTTGATGTTGAGTGCCGATGTAGTAGAACTCACCCTAAATGTCACTATTAGTACCCTGATGGCATCAGTGAGCAGAGGTGTGTTGGCAAGGTTTGCTCTACCTGGTGCTCCTGAGACAGTAATGAATTGAATGTTGCAAATATCCCCATCATTGAAGACAAGGTGTGATGTTTGCATGGCAGCTCCAGTTCACCCTGTGGAAGAGGCATTCAAGTCTAGAGATGGTCTCAGCCCTCTGAACTGTAGAAATTGGGAAGCTGTTGGGAGGGCAGGAGCAGTGTTTTGTCTTGGGCAGAGAGAAGGGCATGTCTGGACTCCAGGATGGCTTGGGGTTGCGCGAAAGTGGAACCTTAGCAATTACAAGCCTGAGGATTGCGAAAGTAAGCTAGTACAAAACTTTATGATGTTAATTTCGTTTTCTTGAGCAGATTCCTTCTGTAAGCCTAGCAAATCCTGATGATGAGACAAATTTCTATTATCAGTGCCAACACAAAGGCACTAGAAACCGCAAGACAGAGGAATGCTGAGGCAGTCTAATGGAGCGTACAACTCTGCCTAAACTACTGGCATGTTTTGTTTTGTTCTTTTAATTCTTGAAAAGAATTAGAAAAGGATGGCAAATCCACCAGAAGAGAAACAAAACCACAGGGATCTTTGTCTGTGGATTAAGCACTTTCAAGAATGAATAAGAATAAATGCTTCCCTGTTTTCACTGTTCTGTATTCTAGGATAAAGAAACCTAAGTTACTTGCTGAGGTATTCTGATTTTCTTATTTGGACTTTGTGATTTTAGAGAGCGTATTCCATGGGATTGTACATCCCAGGGGAAGAAATTAAGATCAGGTATGAGAGAAACACACCTAAGGGTCTGAAATACTTTGAGTTTCTCAAAGATGATCCCATGTGGGCATTTACACTTAAAAATGGGTGGAACTTCTCAGCCTGGAGTTGTATCGAATTACTCGTAAAAAATCTCTGAGGTCTTTGTATGGACCAGGATATTTGGTCCAAATATTTGGGTATTTCTTACAGTTTTTTGAGAAAAGGACTGCGGCCTCACAAAGTGAAAACTAGTCCTGCTTTTCTCTGGATTTAAAAATAACTCTGTATCTTGGAAAGCTGTCTCAGCAGAAGTGAAGGAGTAAAAAAAAAAAGTATATTACATCCCCATGGTTTCATGCAGTGCAGCTGTGCTAACAGTGTGTTGGGAAGGAAAGGCATGAAATAGTCCATGAAATAATCAGTGAATCTCATGGTAAAGCTTTATGCAGTGAAGAGACTGATGGCTCAAGTATCCTACTGCAAATAACCAAGGGAGAGGGAGAATGGTGCCATCATTTTCTAGGGGAAAATATCCAGAATGCAAATACATTCTAATTAAATCAGTGGGCATCTGATAGGAAGCCTGCCATAAATTACAATATCTTTAAATACTCATACAATATATTTGGATTAAATATGCATATTCAGATGGATTGAAAGTTTTATTTCTGGTTAAATATCTGTAGAATGGTAATCAGATCAGGGAAAACCATGCCTCTAGATGTCATTAAGAATTCAATTTTAAAAAATCATTCCGTATAGTCTGTAAGTTGATGACTGGCTTTCAGTTGTTCTTGCTATATGTTTTTTAGACCTTTTTAATTTTTTCTATACTGTGTGATTATATTTTTAATTATTTGGAAGAGATGTTGAGTCTACAAGTATTTATAGAGAGATATTTCACTCCTCCCATGCGCAGTATTCTAAAGCTTCAATATAGTTTAAAACATAGAAGTGAGCATGTGTCAACATACAATCTCCAACAGCCTTTCTTAGATCTTGAGGTAATCAGTAGTAGTACAGGAATAATGGAACATTACTGACCAAATGTAATGCACAGTTGCCACAACAGATTTATTCCCTATATGTCAACTCTAAAGAACAAGTGGTTAGTTTATAACCCTCCTCGGGTTACAGCATTTTAACATTTCTTCAGTGTTTATTTATTCTCCTCCCAAAGAATGTTCTGGAATATTGAGTTTACAACCTGTGGCTCATGTGATGGCAGTGGAAACAATTAAGCCAGAAGCTTTCAAAGCCGCCACTGGGATTTTGATGCCCGAAGTCGTTAATTTTAATAAGAAGTGAGCTGCTGTTCCTCTTAAGTGGTTTCTAAAATCTCAACCCATAAAAACACCTCTCCACCGATTCCAGTTTACTAGGAGTTCAGAGCAAGATAAACATGTGTAACAGAATAGTAGGTGTTAAATGGTGGAAAGTATGTGTTCAGATGTCTCTAAAAACATTCAAGGAGCAGAGTGGTGGCCCCAGGGTTTAACTGGCAGATCGAGTCTGATGTGGTGGCTGCTCCTGCCATTGTCATCTCAGGGGATTGCAGATGGGATCTCATTGCTGACTGATCAGAACGTGAGGTAGAGTTTTGTTGAGAACAAGTCAATGGAAAGAGAAATGTGGGCAGTAGATCACTTTCAGCCATGATGTTCACACTGCTTGTCAACTTTGTTTTCTTGCATCTGCTCCATGCTGTTGCCTTCTTAAGATGTTTCTGCATGCCATAACCTTTATGTCTATTGTGACCTGAAGGATTTATCCACTGCAAATCTGTGAGAGCCTTTCCTTCTACATGACTCTGCAGATGACATTGCTTCAGCCATGGGTGGAGTGACTGTGATCTGTGTCTCTCAGTCTAAGAAGTTGTGAAAACTTCAGAGAGTTCCAAGATCTCTCTTGGAGAAAGAAAACTGCTGCAATGATGAAACCTCATGCTCAACATGAATCGTGGAAGAAAGTCTTACTAGGAAAAGATAGCCAGTACCAGCAGATCTTTCTGTAATGTAAAATAGAGCATGGGATGAGTATGAATGAGTTTGAAACTGATTCAAGAAAAGTCTAAATGCTTGGAGAAGGAAAGGAAAAAAAAAAAAAAGGAAAAAAATCCCACAAAATAGGGATTTTCTTGTCTTTTATTAATGAAAAGAATGTTCATTGGAGAATTTTAGAATTAATTTAAACAAGCATCTTTCTTTTCCGCATCTGTCATATGATCTCTGAAAGATGTCATTACTGTTGGCTACAGTGACAAAATTACTGCAGTGTTTGCCAGTGAGTCTCTCTCCCAGTAGCAGCAATTAATGCACAGTAGCTGTTGGAAGGAGCTGTAGGTAAAATGTGATGCAGTAGACAATGATTCTGAGTGCTATTGTAATGGACTTCAAAAGCACAAAAGAAAAAAAAAAAGGCTGCCATTAGTAGTAGATGTGACTTTTTTTGGAACTAAATGTTCCTTAAATTAAACATGTGGTTTCACTTGCAGTTCATTTTGTACATTGTCACCAATGAAGTTTAGGATTTCTTATTACTTTTTCTTAAAAATATCTTGCTGGTTTCACTCAGGAGGCAAAACTTTTCACGTGGCTTTAATCGTTTCTGTCATAAAAGTGATAGCATCCATGTAATAGAAATAGTTTTGCAGACCACAGCTTCATATTGGCTATTATTTCTCTTCCATTTTCTTTACCTACAACTCATTGGGCCATCAGAAAAAAGTTCCTTTTTTGCAATTAAGACCAAATGGAAACTTTCGCTGAAGTTAGAAAAAAAAATCACTTTGTGTCAGTACTGCTTTATTAGATTTTTGTCTCAGATATCTTGGCTCTCAAATGCAAGCTAACATGGCTGCATATCAAAGAAGAGAGTTTATATTGACTTTTTTTTTCTAAAATTAGTGAAATTCTAGAAGATGAAGTCAATAGAAGGCCTTTTGCTGCACAGTTCAAGAGTGATGCAAGAGATGGTAGTATTTCAAACAGCAGTTAAGAGCTCTGGTAGTATAGCTTCATGGTGGTCCTAGAGAGGCCATTTACCTCCTTTTTTTTTTTGCTTCACTTCCCCAGTACACAGAAACTGCTAGAGTTTGGGTCTCACAAACCTTATCCCAGCAGCCTTTCTATTATACTGTGCTGTTGTCAACAGCCTGGGCTTCCCTGTCGCTAGCCCTAATTTGGGTGAATGAGTGTAATTATTGTTGCAGTCAAAACAGTGATTTGTTTCCAACAAATGATGTCCAAAGTTGTATTAAAAAAAAAGGGAACTATTGTTATCTTATTTGGGGTTTTTTGCATCTTTTAAGGTATTCGTTAGTTAACAAGTTAAATATAAGCTAAATAAAATATAAGTTAAGAGTAGTTTTCCTCAGAGTTTTGCTATTTAGAGTTTACTTGATAGTTTTCTAGGAAACGCCACTGCTGTGCTTCGCCACTGTTCCAGAGCAAAAGCCTCTCTCGTGGCACACCTTAGCAGCTAGCAGCACTCAACAAGAATAGTCCTTTGCTTTCACCTTTTCTTAGCATTATCTCTCAACTTACTTATCAAATACATATCAAATATGTTTTGCAGTTCAAGAATGACCAAGATGAGTCCTGCCTTACAAGAGTCCTCAGCAACAGCCCTGCCTGCTCTGCAGCTTTCTGAACAGGTCCCACTGACATCTCCTTCCCTGAAGCCTCTACAGATGGATGAAGAAGACAGCCTGTCTCCTCATCTCTTGTTACCAGACAGCATCAGCCAGCTGGAAGAGTTTGGCAGACAAAAGAAATGGCACAAGAAACAGCACAAACACCATCGCCAGAGGCAGTTCAATGACCTCTGGGTTCGGATAGAAGACAGGTGAGTCATAACTTTTATGATTCTTGTCCTCTTCCTGCTGCCCTTTACAGATTCCAGCTTTGTTGAGTCGACCATACAACAGGTTGGAGAAAAGCTAAATGGGAGAGATGAGGAGTAAGGCCTTGTTTTTGGAACATAAGGAGGAACTCAGAGGAAGGCTAATAGGAATATTTAATCTAAAAGTCAAGAGCGAAAGCTGATGGTTAGAATGCTTAAAATACAGAGAAAGTACACTAAAAAAAAAAAAAAAAAGAAAAATATTGTTTCCCCTTCTTATCCAGTAATAATTTTCCAATCTTTACTGTCAGTTTTCAGCCCAAAGACTGAGCCATCTTCCAAACTTTAAGATTCTGACATATCTAACTTACCTAACTTTCAATCTTCAATATTTTGATACTGAAAGTATTTAACACCTCCAACACCTCTGTTGTTGCCTTGGAAACAACAAAGTTAAGCATCCTGAGTCTAACCACACTGGGTGTGTATGTATCTGTCTGACTGTCTAACAACTTATCTATTTATGGCTTGTTAGAACCAACTTAGGGTATGTTGCATCTGAAAATCACAGCACATCCTTCAGAAGTATTCTGAATATTCAGAAGTATTCATTGCTGTATGTTTCTACACTTGGGAAACTGAGGAACAGGCAAAGTCATTCCCATTTTCACAACATCTAAATGCTTTGCATTCCAAACAAGTCAGAGTTTCTTACAAGTTTCTCCTTTTACCGATGAAAAAGGCTCTCTACATACTTGTGTTCTGTATTTTTTTTTTTAATTATTTTGTTCATTCTTTTTAAAGGAGCAGTTGCCTTGCTTCTGTTGAGTTTTATTGTATTCTTTTCTTAGGATGAGTGATGTAAGTGTTGTTACAGCAGAATATAATAATCTTACTGGGGTAGGATTATTCTGATGCTGATGCCAGCCTTGGTAAGGAGAATTGTATCCAAATTAATTTGTTTTTTTCTCAAGATTTGTTCAGTGTTGGATTCTCTCTGTGGAAGATGTTTTAGCATGAGGTAAAAAGCATCTGGTGCTATGTGTTTGGCTGCCCCAAAGACAAGGGGCTTCTCTGTTCATCTTCCACCCGAAGGATGCCAAATGTTGGTGTCCCAGCATTTCACGTGTGTGTCTGATCCAGCTCACTGCATGTGTAATATGAGTGAAGTCCTTAAACAGTAAAGTCTTATAAGAGTTTGGCAGTTAGCCGTGTTCCTTCTGCCCTCATCTTATCTATACAGAAAGGATATTGGATATTGGGCCTGATACTGCTATGGAAATGTGCAACTGGGGACTTCAAGCTGCAGTGCTTGCATAGCTTTGGCAGTCTTGTGTTCCTTTTGTTGTTTTTATTTCAGTATTAAATATTCCTAGAAAAAGTGTTTCAAAGGGTAGCTCTCCAGGCTAGAGTTAAATTATTCACTCTGCGCTGGTGAGAGATTTCATCTGAACTGAAACCTTTTATCCCTTTACTTCCATTTCAGAGGGATGGAGATTGGGATGAGGAAACACAGGTTTCCGTTCCCACCAAGCTGGTGATGAACCAGACACTGTGTGTCGCCTGCTTGCTGAAAGATCCCAGGGAGATGTTAGTGGGAGATTACAGTCCTAGAAGCAAGGAAGGGCTGGAGGAAGGGAAGTTTGCCTTAGTGCTTTCAGATGGCTTTAGTTCTTCTATACTTCTGGAGTAACTTCTGCTGTTTTCCTGGAAACAAAACAAAACAAAAACTACAAACTGTTCAGCTAAATCAGAGACTCAAAACCAGCCCTGGTTTCTTCATAAACTGGCTGGGATCTCAACTTTCATAAACTGGGTGCTGCATATTCTGCTTTTGGCAGTCGGGTTTCATCAGTTTTAATTGCAAGCTGGACCTTGCACAAGGCAGTAAACAGTGTGTTCTTTCTAACTGGTTTCTTTCTGATTGGCAAGGAAAGAGCAGAAATTTGTGCCTGTCCCTAGGCTTTGATGCATGATTGTTCTTGGGAAGAAACAGGGTGACTAATATGGGCAAATAAGTGTTATTTGTGCAGCAGAGAAACACATGGACTTGCATCATGTTACCACAGTAAAGTTCATCAGCACTGAAGGGTGAGGCTGTTAGCACTCATTTTGGGAGGAATCTGGTAGTACTGGAAGCTCATACTTGGACCTGACTTAAATTGGAGCACCGTTGTGTCTGTCTACAAAGCCACTCTGTGTGGACTGAGCTCTGTTCATGTAGTATTATGGCTTTCCACATGGTTCTTCTTCCCATTTGAATTTCCTAACTCACCCGAAACTTTATTTTGAGACACAATAGGGAGATTTAGTTCATTGTTACTTTGGGGGGGAGTGAAAGCTGTGTAAAATTCATTGTTTCCGTGAAAAGTCTCCAGAATTCATCTGTTTGAGTCATCTTTCAACCTGAAAAGTCAGAGAGAAATATACAGGTCAGGGACAAATCCAGGTGACTTTATGCCAGATTGCTGATTTTTGTATGTACCTCGTTGAACTGTGAAATGACTGTGGTTCATACAGCTTTTTTCCAAAGCTTTATTGACCACGGGTTAGAGGATTTGATGAGCCATGAATTGCAGGACTTTTATGGACTATGGATTTCTCAGTTATCTCATACACTCCTGTGGAAATCTTAAGGTGTTTTTTTAAGCTACCAGCACAGAAACAAAGGAAATGAACACAGGAGAACAATCTTAAAGCAACATCAAAGTTCTGACTCCAGCCTATAAAAGCCAGGAAATCCATAATTAATGGTTCCACTAAGACCTCATCTTACACGGTCTTTCTGGTCTGATCTGAGGTTATAGCTACAATCTGAAATGGCCTCGTGAAAAATGAGTCATCATTTAATGTCACACATCATTATTAGTATTTACTTTCAGTTATACCTTGGAGATTGTCCTTTCCTTTTTGTTCTGTCTTAGCAGCTGAGACATTCGAATTGGCAACCCTGAGTGGACGCTGTTTAGATTTATGTGTTTGAAGGCTAGTACTGCTGTGGAGGATGAGAAAGCTTCTGCTCTGTCTTCTCCTCTTCTCTGACAGAACTAAGATTTGCTGATCTCCTGGGTAATTGGCTACACTGAACAATTCAGTGAAGGCTAATAAAAAAGTAAAAAACATTGATGAAATCTGTGGTTTCCTCTCCCATCTGCCTCCTTCCCTCTGAATCTAAACAAGATGAAAACGTTCTGCCTGGCTACAATTCACGTTTGAAATTGTTTCTCGAGAATGAAAATGAAATGGAGATTTCAAGTAGCAAGACTTTTTTTTTTATTATTTTATTTTAATGACTTGATTTTACAGATCTGAAGCCTGCCTTTGGGAGGAATTTGAAGGCAGACAGTATTAAGACTCTAGCTAGCTTTCATAGCCAAAAGCCAACTGGGGCAGCAAGAAGGGGAGGCGAAGCCCTTGCAGTGGAAGGCTGCAGTCTGGCACACAGAGTATGTCATTGTTCCTGATGACACTGTGTTAGCTCAGTTTCCTCTATAATATATATAATTAATTACAGATCATTCACTGCCTATTCATGATGAGCTGCTAAGTGAATTGAAAGAACAGAGAAATGCCTGTGAAGTTTCAAAGTAGCAAGCAAAGGCCAAATCAGCATTGCACCTTTGTTCTAGGGCAGGCAAAAAGCTTAAGGTTACAAACCAACAGCACAAACAAATGGAGCACTCTCTCAAGAGGAGTGGGAGCATTACAGCAGGGTGGGAGGGAGGCTCCTGGGTAAAAGGAAGCAGAGTTAGTAGCTGGGAGAGTGTTTGGGAGGTGTGAGGCTTAGAAGGAGCAATGGCAGCTAGAGGGTGTGGAAGAGGAATACAATAGTGAGTAGAAAGAATTAGAGGGTAGATCATCCATGGGCAGATCATCCATTCCTATTGCCAAAGCAGAGATCTGAGCAGAGCCAGCACTTGGATATTGAGGACACACAGATGCTTCACTTGCGTAGAAAAGAAATTAAAGGAAAAGAATTGTGATGAGAAAGAAGAGATTCTTGTCCTAGATGTAAGCTGAGCTCTGCAAAACCTACCGTTAATGGGAAATGAAATGAATTTCCCTTGTAATTGGAAAGGGCATTTTTCTGATAGCCCAGTGCTGACTACACAACCCCAGATGAATGCAGTGACATCACAAGTATCAATTTATTTTATAAGCAATGGTTATTTTAGAGAGGAAAAAATATATATACCAGTGATGGATGAAGGGGATATAGTGTGTAATAAACTGCAGTAAGTGTGCCTGTATAAAGTGAACCTTATCAGTTTGGATGGAATTTAAGCACTTAGGCTGTTATCCTTTCTTTTAAGACAATGCGGTGATGGAAAACAGAACACTGTCAGCTCAGACAAACTTTTAATTTCACTTAACTGCATCTGAAGGGTAAATTTCAGTAAATGAATCCAAATTGCTTCCTTTTCACAACACGCAGTGCTGAAATACAGTACTTAGCTTCATTAAAGAAAAGGCTGCTTTTCTTTAGAGGAGACCTAGACACTTTTGAAGTCTAACAGGTAAATTGTGGTCAGATGATTTCCCCTCACATGGTAGCTTTGAGATTGAAATTTCCATCACTGGGGCCTTGTTTGTTTAAATTACCCTCTCTGCCTCTCTGGGAAGGATACTGCTGGAGGCTGCATGCCTACTGCAGGGGATTGCTGCCTCCTCCAGCCTCCATGCAGCCAGCAGAATAGTTGTCCCCACTGCACATGCCCTGTGTTCAGCCTAACCTTGTCCAAAGGCCAAAGATTAGGAAGCAGCTTTGGGGCTTTCTAACTCGTTACAGTGTACCTGCCTCCCATGGGGACCCTACCAGCAGCCAGGAACAGTGGAAGCATAGGTGTGTTGAAGTCACACCTCCCCTCTCCTTGTCACACCTCATTGCTGGTTGGGGCCAGCGTTGTGTGGCCCGTTGGCTTTCCTCCAACATTTCTGCCTGCCATTTCCTTTGCTGTTCCCCTGGCAGGATTTCCTCCTCAGGAAACTTTCATGATCGCAGT